GGTCTGTGAGGAAGATGGTGCTTGTTTAAGTGAAAGCTCGATTTAAAGCTTTGTTCCTGTAAATGCCAGAGCGGCTTAGGGTTGGGAAGACTGGAAGAGAACTTTCATGTTTTTCCAGTTTAAAAAGGGCAAACGGTTTGGGTTTTATAGTCACATAATCAGTTCCAACTTGTGACTTTGAATTACTCTGAGTTAGTTCAGCTGTCTGGAGTTGTGCGCGTGCTTCCACCGCGTCCCTGTCGCAAGGAAACTGAGAGGGTTTAAATCGCCTCGTAGGCGGACGATACAGATGTGCAGAGGGCTGGGGAAGGCGGGCTTGGGGTACAGCAGCAAGGCTCCGCAGCTGTTAAGTGCATTTTATCTCACCTGCCTTTGCCATTTTGGGCTCGAAAAAGCAAGGCCACCCAAGTGGCCAAGGAAGCAAAAGCAAGCAGTCCTCACCATAGTTGAAGCCTGAATGGAGGAGAGAAGGGGCTAGGCCAGAGCCCACCTCCTCCGTCTGGAAACCTGACCAGTGCAGGGAAACGCGCCAACAGTGGCAAAACGGTACGTGGGAGGAGCTGAAATGGGAGTCTGCTGGTGGGAGGGGGGCCAGGACTCTGTCCTGACCTCTCACCCAGAGAAGCCACAGCTACTCTGAGCCACCAGCTCCGTAGCAGGGTTTGTCACCCCCAGCAGAAGGTGGAAAGAGAAGCCAGGCCCTGTCCTTTCCCACAGAAAGCCACCATTTTAAGCCCAACCTAATTTTGCCCCCCGAAATAGGCAGAATCTCCCCATGCCGCTCCTGTAAGGGAAGGAGCCACCAGTGAGTGTTGCCGGCACACCTAGGGAAGGAGCGATGGGTTGTGCTACCACCTGCTATTAGACCAGCAAAACCCACGTGTGCAGGCCAGTCCTGAGAGCTGCCCGTCTTGGAGGGAGGAGCACGTGGGCTCCTCTGTCGGGAGAAGGAGTTAGGCCCGCTGGTGTTTAGAACAAGTGGGCATCTGAACAAGACAGCAGTCATGAAACGGGATGAGTGCGAAGGAGAAAATCCAGCTCAGACAAGGGGAGAAATGTCAGAGGCTGAATTAAATCAAGGAGGGAAAAGGGGTTTTATATTGAAACAAACAGCAGGGGGCAGGGGTAAAACTAAGATGGGTAGGAAGTCCAAAATGTTGAGGCATCATAATGAAAATAGTTTGTGTAGAGTTTAGGAGGGGTTAAATGCACAAACAATTTGACTGGCACTTCATCTTGCATAATCTGATTATTGGATCTGTGCACTTGAAAACAGTGTAACTGAAATAGCTCAAAGTAGCTTTGACACACGTGTGGAAATGAAGCTAAGTACAAACGAATATACTTCTTTTTTTTCCTAATTTGGCTCCTCCATCAACCTCCGTTTCTGAGGTGAGCAGAGGAAGGGCTCTGCATTTGGACACCCTCCTTTTTCTTTGTAGTTGCTGTGACTCTGTACATTTGCCTCAGGGGGCCAATTATAGGGCAGAAATAAAGCACGGTCAGCTTTTCATGCAGAAATTTCATCCTCCCAGAACTGAGGAGTATAAGAAGAGCAGATGCCAATTTCTTCCTGAGAAATCCTTCTCAAAAGTATGAGTAATGCTGGCTAACAATACCAAGGCACCTATGAATTAAGAGTTGTAGATGCAATTCGTATGTCTCCGAGGCCGTTAGCGGAGATGTGCTTCTGGCTTTAAAAGGCGATCCTTGCTAAAGCCTCCGGCAGCAGAAAGGTGCCTGCGGTGCAGCTGACTCTGATCAGTACCTTACCTACACCCTGAAGGGGGCAAAAAGACTTTTCAATTTAAGTGCTTTCTGTTATTCACTCTAAAATGATGTCATGATAACTGAATAGCCTCGCTTTTTCTAGTTAATTAATGCAAATCCTATAGGAACACTTCATATTCATTGTACCGGATGAGGACACAGCAAACTGGTAAAATGAATGTCACAGGAAGGAGAAAAATATTCCGTCCAGTAAGGCTGGAACAGCAGGTGACTCTCTCACAAACCAGCTCACCAAGTTTAACTATAAATGTATAGATGGACACGTACCTCGGTCCTCACACTTTGTTGCAAAAAACGTACCAGTCTCCTTTTTCGCCTTAAGTAAGTCACTCCTTAGCTGATGACACAAATGTAAGAGGAATAAAAATTTTCTAAGATCATATGTTACGATTCGACAATGTGATGAGAATATTTCTCCAGCTCAGTAGCTGCTGAACAGCAGGGGTTGCTCGCTGTTCCCGCCAGTGTAGGCTAACACCACATTTATTTAATTACTTGTAGAGCATATGTTTATATAGGTTAATTTTCCTGTTGTGTTTTCTTTTTTTTTCCAATTATGGTGGAGTCAGACCCAATAACAGACTTTAAGGTGAAACTGCTGTTTCACTGCAAGACCGCTAAACTCTAGAAAGAGACTGCCAAGAGATTCTTAAGCGTCAACAGGAAAGGCACTGGAGGACGGGGATGTTAACAACTTCCCTGGCTTCTTGGCTCAGAAGTGCATTCGCTACGGTGACAGCCATTATGGAATGAAGGCGTTCCGTGCCCTTTGGCAGGACAACTGCTCAAGGTAAGGAAGAACGTCTTGTTAAGCCTATTTGCGGGTGGGGAGGTAGGACTTCTTTTTTTGTTCTCCTCCATCTTCTGGTGCGGCGTGTGTGCATTTAATGCTAGTCAAGCGGGTGAGCCCATACAATTAGCGAGCTGTGTCCTTGCCCCACAGCACTCAACCTGAGTCTAACAGAGGCTGACAGAAAGAGGTTAGAGGGAAAAGAGGATGATTACAGAAGCAAAGGGTTTTGAAATGCTTTATGTTAAATGGACATTTTGGTGCAAGCCTAAGGAGTGGTTTGTGAAAGAGATGTCATTTGGGCTGAAGAAAGCCTGTGCATTAAGGGAAAAAAAGGGTAAACCAGTTTATAATCCACTTAACGATTTAGAAGTCGTAAGAAAAACAACATTTAAAGGCTTCTCAGAATCTTTTTATCATTACACTGTTAAAACGTGCAGGAGCCTAGTGTGTGTTTTTTTTATTTTAGGGTACCAGTACTTCCTGATAGCAATGTATCGCCCATTTCTAGGGAAAAAACCCTGCTTCCTTCAAGCATCGAGCTCTGACATGTCAGTTGCCATCTTTGCAAACACAAAACCCCCTTGGTTTTATTTTTTGTGACAAGCACGCTGTCCTATTTACATTCTAGAGTGAACAAACAAGGAACCATTCCTTCAAATGGGGGTACTCGGAAAGAATCTTCCTCTTACTTGCGTAAGAGGGAATTGGATGCGCCATCCCCTCTGGGCCTGCCGTGACGGCTGAGGAGGCAAGCCGTTTCAGCTTGCCTGTAGTGCCGCGTGGTGTGGAAGCACAAACCCAAGCGGATGAGGCTGCAGGTACCAGAGGATGAAAACTTAGGGGCAAACCCTCATCATGGTACTCGCTAAGGCAACTCTTTAAGGCCCACCATTCAAAGTCCCCTCCTCCTGACTGGAAACAGGGCCTCTTTCCTTGAGCCCCCTTTGTTCTGAGCTGCGCCAAGTACGGATTTTTCTCTTTGGCGCTCAGGAAGCGCTAGGGCTATTTCAGTTGTTCGATCAGCTCCCGCAACAATGACAGCAGTATTCTTGTGCTGCACTCAAAGCAAGGGCTTGGAGTTCCCTAGTTAGGCTGTCTCCCTTGTTTTTGAAGACGAGGTGAATGTGGATGCAGCAGTAGGTACCCTACAAGCTGTAACACTTATCAGAGACTCAGATAAAAAGAGGTTAAGAGTAGAGGCTAAACTCAGCATACTGAAGCTGAAATGATTTCTTGGGAGAAAACTACAGCTGGGCTGGAGGCCTCCGTAGCCCAGCACTGGGAAGTACGCTTGAAAAATAAAAGTGCTTTGCGCCAACAGTACTGCTGCAGACTGGAAATCGGGTGATGGGAACGGTATCTTTGCAATCGCTGTGTGAGGCAGAGCAGAGGGATGCTGATGGCAAGCAACTTGCTGCATTACCTATCTGACTATTGTCTGAAACATTTAACTTGAGCCCCAAACAAAGAGAAGGTCTTACTTGTTTAACTTTTTAAACAATTCAATAATAACTTGTATTTTTAGTAATTTAAATGTTCCTTATGGAGGTCTTCAAATGTACTGTGGGAATCTCCACCACTTAAGGACTTGAGCTGTCTGTACAGATAACTAACAAACTCATTACAGCTTTTTCTTGGTCTCAACATTTCTATGATGAGTTTTGCTACAAGTTGGGGGAAGAAGCTTCATTCAAGAAGGGCCAAGGTGTCAGCCATTACACCTAGAGGTACACACGTACCTTAACAGAGCAAACTTCCCAGAGACTTGTTTCCAAACAGAACTCGTACATCCTGGAGCCTTCCAACATTCTGTCGTGCAGCAGGATTGCGGAGCTTTCCCATCTCGGCTGCTGCTGGCCATTGGTGCTTTTGAGACCGTGGCATGTGCAAGTGCAAGCTGGATGGGCCATCTCTGCACCAGCAAGGGCTACCGGCTGACGTCAGTAACTCTGTACAGCTCTGTCAGAGGCCAACAGAATCTTAACACTTTTACACTCAATACTTTTAACTCAGGTCTGAATATGACTATGAAAAAATGTCTTTCACGGTTGACACAGTTGACTGACTGACTTACATAAACCATGTAAAAGGTTTGTTGTTTTTTTTTCTTCTAACAAGAGGTGGCAAGAGAAGGAAGTCAAAAGACAGTAACTCTACTTCTACAAAAATATTAACTTACTCTATAGAACTGGGGAAGGCAGTGTCTTGACTCATTAGCACAACAATTTGGAGCAGATTCAGAAGTTGTGGCCTGAACTATTATTTATTATAAACTGACCTGGCACTGCTGCACAACTAATTCTCTACAACTGCTGACTCAGGCACTGAAAGTCTTTTAAAAGCCAACAAAACAGTTGTATGGAGTGAAAATACACTGCTACCCATAAGAAGCAAGCAAACCATCAAAAAAACAGTACAGTTCATGGCTTTAATATAAAATCACTTTCTTTCCCCAGAAGCTGCAGCACTGTATTACAAGTATATTACAGTTAAATTAAAGGAACACCATCGTGATTGAGGACATCTTCATGTATGAGATAAAATCTTTCAAATAATTCATAGTCCATTTCTGTACATTTTAGTTTATCAAAATACATTGGAAAAAAAAAAGAATGTATTTTCTCTTCAGCAGGTGTCACTACCACCATTTCTCAAAGAAAACACAGTTTCTAGGAACACCAATGTTAGACAGCAGTTTGGATATAGATTCTATCATTGGAGGTGGACCACAGATGTACCATAAAGTATCCTTAGATACATGTTTTTCTAGATCCTTTTCAGATATTCTTCCCTCTGACAAAGAAAAAAGTACAAAATGAGAACAGAAATATTAATCATGAAGTCATTTCAAAAAGAATGACTGGTTAGAGGTATTTCAAGCACCCATTTCTTCAAAATACCAGGCCTGTTTAAGGATAATAGATAGCAAGATTTGAGGCCTCCAAAACCATGTGTTCTCCAGGGGATTTAGATCAGTACTTCTAGTTGGAATGCACAGGACATTAGTCACTGAAGAGGAACATGGCTTACAACTAAAAATCCCGCATTTGGATGAAAAAAGTAAGTAAGTATATCTAACACAAATACAACAGAAATGGAAACATGATGAAGTATCTATCTCTTACAAGCAGTCAGCTTATCCTTCATCCATCCCACCTTAAGCAAAGACTTCGCTTAATAGTTTCTGGAATAAAGTTTGCAGTGGGAAATACCAATATAAAGTTTAGAATTAACAGAGGAGGTTTACTAGAAATGAAAACAAAAACCGCAAAGGGAAATTTTTTCTCCAAGGCGTAACATGTACAGTGAAATTATTTAGGTTTAACTCACGTCTCATTTTGAATCTCTAAATGTAAGAATACTAAATTAAGCATTTAACTTCATCCTCTAGGATGTAATCAATCAAACTTAGACTTCAGATACCATCTCTGTACGTTGCCATTATATTTACCTGTAACATGTGGCTGAAGTTCTTTACAGATCTGTGAACTCTGTTGGGTAACGTGGAAACGACATGTGATCTTTCCAGGAAATGCATTCATCAAACCAAGAATATTTTTCTGTAATGTTAAACACACTTGCTTATACCACAGGCCAGTAAATCAAAGCAGATGTACACATACACTCCCACACCACCAGTGATTGTTACCGAGTACCAAGACCCTGCATTTCAGCGCTGAGAACCCGACGGGCTTCATTTCACAGCGCTGACCTGCACACGTACACAGAATTTGCGTACCTGGAATGTGAATACGCTACCAGCTCTGGTGTTAGCGCTTTTCTCCTTTTTTACATTAGGTTGCAATTTGTGAGGTTTGGACCTAAGAACCAGTTATGTCCTTTCCCAATGTCTTCCCCATATAAATTCTCACAATTTCCTCCTTCCACTTCCATATGGGTTTTCCATTTAAAAAATACCCTGCAGTATGTATTTACCATTTGCTACAAACTTTTTGAGTCTCGTCTGCTTCATCTGGTAAGATTACTAGACCCTTTACTGTCTTGTGTTCTCCAAGTAAAGCCAACTACAGTGTAATGCTAATGCTATTTTTACCAGAGCAGAAACTGTAATTTTCAGTTCCCCAAGTCACAGTTGTGATAGTTACCCCCAAAAACTCAGTGGCTTCAGTTCAAACCATAGTAAAAAAAAAATAAAATAAAAAAATCTGTCAGATGTGGTGATTAGTTCTGAAACTAAGATTTAGTTATTGTGTAGATTCTGCACTATTTGGGATTTTCACTACTGGAACGGACACTGGAAAATCTTCCTTAAAATACTCTGAAAAAAATAATTTCTATTCTGTGAATAGGTAAATTAGCTCATTTTGTTATGTTTGCTTACTAACTAGTTACTACACTGAACAGTCTGCCACGGGTTTTGAACAAAAAACCCCAGACAGATTCTACTTTGTAGACAAATCTGTTTCTGATTCCCAAAAAAGAGATGGAACGGAGAGCAGCACAGACAGCCCCTGCTGTACACGGTTCCACTACTGCCTCTCATATTGGCCTGCTTTCCCTGCTCTAGTTGTTACTCGCGACTGCTGTCTCCTTCATGTGGAACCACGTACAATTTGACAGCACTTTTGAAACGAACCATGTCCTGTTGAGTTGAAGGCCTAGGATGAAGCCAGAAAGCATGCCTAAGGTAGGACTTAACCTGCTTAAATAACCCTGCAGTCATTTACACCACCTACTTGTAACCCATCACTCTGTACTTGAGTGACACAGACAGAAAGTGGCAAGTATCATACATGTGACATCAACCACCAAAGTACTATTTTCTAGTATCCTAAGGCAAGGGACAGGCTCTCTTTAACTGACCGAAGGAGAATTTCAACAGCTCAGCAGGCTCTTCGCAGCTTAGTGAGTTAGTGTACAAAATGAAGCAGGCAGCTGAGCAATACAGAGCTAAGGGAAAAGACCCCTCCCCAGTGTCCCAGCCACAACGAGGAAATAAGGCTCACATTCAGTCCTCACGAAATCAGGAAAACCCAGCTCACTGGCATCTTGAAGTAGCAAAGTTAGTATGCTATCTTTTGTAATTCTAACACTCTATGCTTCTACCATTTTAAGTAACATTTTTCAAAAGCAGAGCAGCTACCTGTGAAATGAGATCACATCCAAAACGAGTATTAGGCCAATTACATTAGCATTGCCCTTCGTCCCTGTCAGCCTATACACAGCTCTTTCTTCCTCCAAACTGTTACCGACAACCTAGCAGTTCCTCATGGAGATTTGTACAGATGCATCCCACAACAGCATAAAGACTCTACTGAACCTATTTCCTCAATCCTCTGCGCAGAAGTAAAGAATTTTCACATACATGTTCTGGGTTTGAGGAACACGTGAAGAATGAAGGGAAGGATATGTTTTAAGCACTGCGACATTATCATTGTGTTCTCTTCTGTCCCAGAAACTCTAATGCAAAAGCTCTGCTATCATAACGCTGCCGAAGTGAAACTCAGGAAATGCTAAGCTCCTGCACTGAAAAAAATTGTGTATGCTTAGAAAAGACTGGGAGATTAGTAGCTGGCCAAATGGAAGAGTAGATCAGTTCCAGTTTATTATTCTGCTTCTAGTAACAAACAAATGACTTTTTAAAGAAAGCAGTGATCTTTGTATCTAGAAATATGGTACAAGTACAGAAGAAGAACTAGTGATGGATCCTATACACAATTGCTGGAATCATGACAGATTTTCACCTTTATCTTACAATCAAAAGCTTTCAATACTTCAAAGAAACCTAAATCACAGGGACGCTTCTTTACAGCAGCTGTGCTAATTTGACCCTAAAATGTTATCAGTGACCTTTAATGGCTGAGTGTGACAACTGATCTTTAACTGCTAAGTAAATGTTGATGAAGTACTATACAATCAATTTTACAAGTGATTATAAATCCTTCATTCATACACTAGTACCTAACAATAACTATTGCATTATCAAGAAAGCTCCCCTGTTATTTTAGAAAGTATTTCCTTTGGCTATAATCATTCTTGCTAGTCTTTAAATTCAATACAATCTATACCGAGGCTATGTGGTTACAGTATTACAGCATTTAGCATTATGCATACTATTAGTGTGTATATACACGTGTATTATAGTATATATAATCTTTAGTATACTATGATTCTCTTACAAGATTATAGTAAAATGTAGGGCAACAGTAAAATTTAGGGCTGACTTATCAGTGAAGTCAATGGGACCAGGTATGTCCAGTAACAGCCTTAGTTTGTACATGGGAGTAATTAACCAAACACACCTGGGATCTGAGGCAGGACGTGACTTTTGTCTCAGTTTGTACAGCACCTTACACAGAGGGGCTCTCTGGAATTTGGCAACAGAATGATACACACACTAATAGCTGAGACCTGTTTTTTAAAAAACTTTTTATTTACCTTAAATAAGAGTTCACTTGTATTTTTTGCACTGTAGTACAGCTTCACTGTTCCCATTTTGTATCCATTTCCTTTACCCTCTTGGTATCCATGAAGATCTGCTATATGCAGCAGTATAGAAAACAATGGGTTAATTCCAACACCCCCTGCTATCAGCACTAGTTTTACAGGGGAGTCACCAGGCTGAGGATCAAAGAAGAAATCACCTCCCACTCGCAGAGCCACTTCTGAGTCAACTGTACACTAGGATGGAAAAGAAGATACTTAATTTCAAAACTAAAAGCAAAAGTTGACATATTCTTCTTCTTGCACCACAGTCACAAGACTTGCTTGGGCTGTGATTTTTTAATTTTTATTGACCAGTGAGGGAAAACTGAAGTACTTTAAAACAAACGCACAGTTCTCAGCGATCTATCTGAAGTAATTTGTTTCAGTGTCTCTAGGGATTTAGTTCTACTTTCAAAAGTTTCACTCTCCTGATAAGGCAGGATGGTGACTCCCCGTTCCCACTCCCATAAAAGCTGAAAGAGGAATGATTCATGCAAGAGTTTTTCAACAGCAGTATGTGGTTGTGAAAACCCAAGGTTCGCATGTGAGATCACACTTTTACCCAAACCCAGTCTCATGTCAAAAAAAGCCCTGCTATGAGGTCACAGAAGGAAGTCAGAATGAGTTGCATAGATGCAGAAGGTTTTTCCATCCCCATTCCTAAAAAATAAAAAACACCCAGAAGTGAAGCAAGTATCCACAAGAATGTTTCTTGCAGAACCACTTCCGCATTTGCAACTTCAGAGCTGCAGAAGAAGAAAAGTCAGGGGAAAACCTTCTCTCTTCTTCTCCACTTGCACATAAGACATCGTTTCTTAGAGCAATTTGCCAAAGAGTGTTCTTTTGATACATGGAAAACTAAAGCTACAACAAGAAAAAAACCCAAAACATTTGAGTCAATATCTTCTTGGTAAACCAGCACTGCATCCCAATATGAAGGGTGAAACTGCAGTAGCGAGAAGTCAGGTGAGTTCTCCCACATCACTGCAACCTAACAGAACAAAGAGGAGCAGAAAACAGAGCTCACTTTAGGCCATATATAGGGTTTAAAAAACAAAATAAAGAGGATAGGGAAACCAAGGAACGTGGGAAAGGAGGAGAGAAAAAAAAGTAAAGCTACAAGAACTGTTGAAAAATTAGCAGTTAATCGCTTACAGAATAAAAACACTTCCTCCAAAACATCCTTTTGATATCAGGAAACAGTAATTGAAACTAAAGGAATTCCATTAATGACAGCTGTACAGTAAGGGAAGGTCTAAACATGTAACAATTCCACCAGGAAGGGAGGAAGGAGGCAGCCCTTGGACACAGGTACTGCACAGAAGTTCCTAACGCAGTGAGCATGACGATTAAAAAAAAAAGTTTCTTGCCTTTCTTAATTATTTCATATAGTATCATCTCTTAATTATAGTGTAAGACAATCAGCATTCATGATGTGAAATTAATTTCTCTCTCCCTTTTCAAGGTACACTGCCAGGCTTTCCCACCATGTTTTACTCTGGTTTAGAGACACATGAATCCAGAAGTGTTCCAGATTCATGTGGCAGAAGGAGGACACAGAACATGGTACCCTTTGTGGAAATCAGCATTTTTAGGGAGAAACAATCTCATTATTGCCTAATCTGCATCCTTAACCAGCTATAGCTCAAGATTGGACATAGGACACAGGAAGAATCTCTCTTGACCAGCAACGTCCCACGTATTTCAGTGCTTTAGCCACGGCAATGATAACAAGAAGTCACTAGTCAAGAAAAAAGAACAGAATTCTGGAGTAATACGGTGAAAAAGTGGTGTCCTTTAGCCTAGTTTGTAAATACAGCACAGAAGCAGCTTAGGCAGAGAAGTGAAGTAATCAATACATTACATGTACATTTTTCTAAAGAAAAGCCTGTATTTTCCTAAAGCTATAAAGTACACTGTGCTAAAATTTATGATGTGATATACAGTAATACTAAAAAATAAATATCTCTAAAAAAACCAGATACAGTGAGTAAATGAGTACTAACTATTCCCATAATATCTTTTACCCTGAGATAGCAGCTTACTTTACAAGTAACTTTTAAACAATTAAGTACCGGAGTTTTTTCACCAGATATACAATCTTGTCAAATTCTAGGTGGCTACTTTTTTCTTCTTCTCTCCTAAGGAAAAGCATGCACTTTTGTTTTTCTAGAAGAGTCCATATATACCCTGGAGGTTTCTCCACAGCAGCAGGTTTGACCTAGCTTACCCACTAACTAAAGATTTTCCTATAAATTCAACTAGAAAAGTCAGCAACAGCAAACTGATTTATGACAGCAAAAATCCTAAAAGAGTCTCCAGAGACTGGGAATTACGAAGTTAGGCCTTCATATTCCCTAAAGAGCAATACCCAAAAGCAGACAATCCTTTTAGGTGTTATGGGGTCTGCTGGCACGTACACTACAAGTTCTACAGAACATCTCAAAAAGGTTATTTTGTTTATGTTCCAGTGGAGATAACTTGATATGATGCCAGTTAAAATACTGTGGATGGTCACATGCTAACTACTAGATTAGCACCACTTTGCATATTCTCAATTCTAGTAAATTTTCATCAACCTTTACCGTAACTCTGTTGGCCATGGATCAAAACTGCAGTATTTGTAAACCTAGAAGAATCTGCCAATTTAAACTTTGCAGCCACATTTCAGAAATACAAATGCCAGGCAGAGAACAGTAAATAGGACAGACCGCAGGGGGTTGTGAAAAGAACAAAAGTTGATATGACAGCCCTGAGGAGAACGATTTGGGGGTGTTGGTTGACAAGAAGCTCAACATGACCCAGCGACGTGCACTCACAGCCCAGAAAGCCAACCATATCCTGGGCTTCATCAAAAGCAGCGTGGCCAGCAGGTCGAGGGAGGGGATTCTGCCCCCCCGCAGTACTACCTTCAGCTCTGGGGTCCCCAACACAAGAAGGACATGGACCTGTTGGAGCGAGTCCAGAGGAGGCCACGAAGATGATCTGAGGGCTGGAGCACCTCTCTATGAGGACAGGCTGAGAGAGTTGGGGTGTTCAGCCTGGAGAAGAGAAGGTTCCGGGGAGACCTTAGAGCAGCCTTCCAGTACCTAAAGGGGCCCACAAGAAAGTTGGGGAGGGACTTCTTACAAGGGCAGGTAGTGATAGGACATGGGGCAATGGCTTTAAACTGGAGAGGGTGGATTTAGATTAGACATAAGGAAGAAATTCTTCCCGGTGAGGGTGGTGAGGCAGTGGCACAGGTTGCCCAGAGAAGTTGTGGATGCCCCATCCCTGGAAGTGTTCAAGGCCAGGTTGGATGGGGCTTTGAGCAACCTGGTCTGGTGGAAGGTGTCCATGCCCATGGCAGGGGGCTTGGAATGTGATGATCTTTAAGGTCCCTTCCAACCAAATCATTCTATGATTCTATGATCACCTATGAAATACCAACATCAGCAGAAATAGGACTCTTGTGACTATAATTAAATGAGGTAAACAGATGAACAAAACACTGCAAAAGGTCAAAGTGTCAGACTTTACTTTTAATATAGCAAAAATCAAGCTTTGGGTTATCTCAATATTACAAAAATATTGCACATTTAAACTATAGAAATTCTAAAGTATTCTGTTGTTCTATCATTTCAGAAAAAATGATCTAAATATCTCCCTTTGCTCCCCCTTAATAATCTATAATTATATTTATCTGACAATGATTCCCAGTTTATGTTTGTAGAAATGGCCAGGAATGATGGCAAGTTATCAGATGCAATTTTGCAATGTGTAACACAGCCTGTTCTCAGGGGCACAAGCTACAACAGAGTTTTTTCAACATTTTTCAGTTCATTAATTCCAAAGGAGTGAGAACCCTGATACATACTAACTACAACATCACTGTAAGTCCACCAAGCACAAGTGGAGTCAAAAGATCCAAATAACCGTACTACCACATAAACATCCAATTTCAGTCCCTTACTGAACAAAAGGTTTTAAGATTTACGTTGTATTGAAAATGGTTGAACAAGTCAATGGGAGTTTTGCAGTCGATAGCAAAAAATAGTCTGAAATCACACAGACCACCTCGTCCACCTCCCAAAAGAAAAAAAGAAGCCAAATCTCACAGTTAATTTCACTTACCTCAGTGTGAATCCAGTGAGCAGGAGGATGAACCGAGCGCTTTACTGCCAGCTCTAATAATCCTTCTCGTTCCAACAGGCCAGGGCTTGAACATATTGAGAATCCCCCAACTATAGATACTCCAGGAATAAAGAAATCAACCCTAAAAATAGACGAGAAACAAAAGTTAAAAAAAAAGCCAACAACCTCAAACATGGAAAACAATAACCAAAACAAAATGGCTGCCATTGTTTCAATTATCCTTCCTTTACAAAGATATCTTCATTTCCACAACATAACTTTTCCAGAAAAAGGACTTAATCCTGAGTAATGCCATTTCCTTAGAATTATTTTCATCTACAAACATGTCATCACCTTTGTTAAACTAGCAGATTTTGAAACCCTTCTGGTTTTAGCATTAGGTGCCACATCTCACAACAGACTAGAATTCCAAGTGTTTAAATAAATTATTTGCGTATTAAAACAAAAACACAACATGGTCTGGTAAGAGTGGTTTAAATCCCACTCTTTTTGGTCCCTTTGATGGGCTTTTCAATTTTCAAACATAAGAAGATTGGGAAACTAATTGGGACTTTAGATTAAACACTTTCTTTTCTTGGGAAGATGAAATATCTGAAGTAAAACCAGTCTGTACAAAATTTCTGCTGTGAACAATCAGTTCCTAGAAGCAGAATTGCTTTACCACTGAACTGCATTGCCCTCTGGTGACAGACAGCTCTTTCCAGTTGGGAGGAAATCAAACTGGAATAAATTACTACAGTTTTTTTTAAAAGTTAAAGAAAACCACGCATAGGTTTCTATAAATTAGAAGGTAACACACGGCTAAGCTTTCGCAACACCAGCAATTAGAGAGTATGGAAGGCAAGCCATTACTACATATGAACTATAATTCATTTTCATAAAAGTATGGCTTTGATACTCCAAATAGTATCAGAAAGACTTAGAAGTTGGTTTATGATCTAACATTTAAACTCCTCTGTGTTGCATAAATCTTTAACTACTTCAGTTTTCTACAGCACATAACAAAATCCCTGTATTTCAAAAGAAAAGTAATGTTTAAAACTAATTGTGCACTTAGGAAACAACCATACTGGTAGTAATGCCAAGTACTAGAGAATCATTTGTCAATTCAAGCCTGAGTTAGGCTGGCTCAGCATTAGTTAAACGAGAACACAAGAAATACAGACTGGCTTCCACTGCAGAGGTATTTTCTTCAAACAGCAAGGCTATAATCTTCACAGAGAGCACAAATTCTTGAGGGAGGTGAGAAGCACTTTGAATAGTTCACTAGTTTTTAAAGAAAAAAAATCTTGCGTGCTTACTCCCCACAAAGCTCCACTCTTCAAAGAAAAGTATCTTCTCTCGAGAATGCACAAAGTGTGATATATACAATACTACAGTAATATAATTTTTAACTTTATGCAAATAAAATTTGATGGTGTATAAAGGTATCCAACTGCAAATTAAAGGTTAACAAATCAAAAAAAAAGTTGAGAAGGCTTATTTCGCTGTCCTCAGCTTCTGCAGCCCCACTGACCATGGGGCTCAGCTTTCCTAGCAGTAAGGATCTAAGAGATTACAAAGGACGACTCTTGGACTGCAGCATTTACTGTATCAGAGAACTACTCCCGATGCTACCAAAGCTCTTTACCACCCTCTGGTGGAAAAGAATCTTACTACTTACAATAACAACAACAAAAAATATTACAATTATGCTGTAAAGTAACAATTTACATTCAAGTCAAAATGTTCTGCCTGACATAAGGGAAACATTATTTGTGCCTGGTGGGGAAACATACATACAAACCCAAACATTGCTGTAAAACCTAAATCAAACATAGTTTTTATCCTTCTAAAGTACTAACGTAGGTGTACGTTTCTTTCTATGTTAGTATTTCTTCCCTAATTACATAATTCTGAGAGATTTCAGGGCACAGTATACTGTATCATAGTGGACTAGCTTGTATTTCTGATGGCTTGTCTCAGCTTATCCTTATGAAGGATAAGGGGATTTCTGAAGAAATGCTATGTGTGACAGCTTAGGCGAAAAGGGTAATTGTAGGGCAAAAAAGGAAAAAAACCCCAAACTATACAAACCCACAACAAGGAGAGGTGCAAAAGATGTAAAACGCAGATCTCATACAGATTTTTCATTTCCCTCCTTTTAAAGGCTACCTAAGCCAAATCTTTCAGAAACAAACAATAATTAGCAATTGCTGGAGGAAGAGATCAGAAACATTAAAACCATAAAGCTGTTTCTTCAAAGTATTTATAACATGCATATACCTCAATGCATGTTTTAGTAAATCAAAACGGGTAACAGCAACAAGTCTCTTCCTTATTACTTGAAGTCAGATAAAGACCACTATCCGCCAGCGTGCTTGCAAAACAAATTCACTTTTGCTTTTGAAAAACTTGATCATTAGAACACTTTCAAAAAAGAAAATACACATTTTAGTGACAATCTTTGGCTGCAACATCTTACTATAGCAAATTCTAACAAGTTAGCCTTTTCTAGTCAGGAAATTGTGGCCTGGTGTTTTGTACTGCTCATCAAAAAATGTAGCCATAGTTTATAACTACAAGTATAGAAAAGTTGTTGTATACCTTACAATAGCATTAGAATACTTTCAAGGAAGAAGAAAATGAAAAAGAGTAATTATAATTAAAGCTTTCAGTTTTCAGCGTGATAATTTCTAAAACATTTTTGGAGGGTAAATGCACTTTCCAAATACTGGCAAGCAAGAATTTAATATGAGTCACTGCACATGTGCAAAAACTGCAGCAAATTACCCCACAAACAAATTATTGCAATCAACATCTTGTGTTCTGGTTCTAAATTTAAAAGCCAGCATATTAACACTACATGAGTAACATATGCAGTTAATACCCTAGCAGCTATACTTTAATTCCAGCAAAAGCACTTTCAGATGGCCTTAAGCCAATACAAAGTTTAAAACATTTCAATGTCCAATGCTAAAAGCAACTACTCATAGTTTTAAACTAATTTCTAAGAGGAAAAAAAAAAAAGTGATTGAGTGGGAGTATTTTTAACAAGGAAGGAAAACAAACATGAAAATCCATTATTTCCCTGGGAAAAAAGCTGTAAGGTTGCTTAAACAAACAGCTAATTATTTCAAAGGCTTAATAATTTAAGGTTTTTTTTATTTTCAAATATCTATATTTATATATTAATCTGACCTAACAGGCTTGATTTTCAGAGTGGAAACTTCTAGGGGAAGAAAAAGTTAACAGGCAATTCTAATTGAATTATTAACCAAAACTCAGTAACCTGCAAATCAGCAGTCTTGGCTTCGCTGTAAAAACAACTAGTAAATAAAAGACAGTAAAGAGAGCTTGCAGAATAAAGTGCAGTGTACTTCAAAGTACTCTTGAAGAAACAGTGTAATATACATAAACCAGAGGAAAAAAAAAAACAAACAACCAAACTGAACATTTCAAGAATGTCCATTTTTGCCCTTTTAAAATTAGTATTAGCATATTTAAAAATGGCTATTTTAAAATTATGCCAAATATCAGCTATTTGACAGAGCACCCAATAACAAAACATTGTATTATATAAATTAATGATTTTTTCCAAGGCTCAAGGTCTTTTACTATTTTGTTATAGTGGACTTCTGCTAGTAATTTTCCCCTCAAATATCAGAAGATCTTACCACTGTCCTGCTTTGAAAGTAAAATCTTTATTTGCGATAGCCAAACGAAGTCTTTTGACTGTCTCAGATTCATTGGTGATTCCACACACTTTTGCTTGTGAAATTACCTAACAAAAGGAAAATAAGCCACGGTGTTATGCAGATATCATTTGCAGCAAAAGTACTCGAGAATCTGTGTATGAGATATCTATCATTCTGCATGTTATCCGCAGCATTTCATACCCTAAAGCATCAATATTTTTTCACTGGGGTAGAGAAACAAAAATGGATTCACTTACATAGTCACTGAATGGAGAAATAGTTTTCTACTTACAGTCCACCACATCTGTCACTTCTGTCAGGGTTATTCTAAGACTACATACAAACTTATTTCAGTTGAAGAGAACGTACAATACAGAGAAGCGATTGCTGGTTACCACTTTCCAGATTCTTTTGACATTTATACAAGGCAAACACTCCTGTATCTTCCAGCAACAAAGTAAAAATATCTCTGACATAAAGACTGACAAAGGAAACTCGTAAAAGACCAGCTGCTACTGATAAGTAGCAGGGAGATAAGTCCCTGCTAAGTCCCAGGGAGAATTCTGGATCTATATCTACTTTTATTTAAGTAATTAAATGCATTACTGAAAGATTATGCATGAATGCATAATGCGTTAATGAAAGAAAACCAACAAGCTTTGTGTTACTGCGTTTACATGCGTACCCATTTGACCACATTGACCACACACGCGATCTACATACACAGGGAAACGGCGACACAAGCATTCATTACTAGTTTTTGTTTGGCAACCAGATGGGAGGGGATGTAAGAGCCATAGTTGATACCACTTTCAAAGAGTTTAAAAAAAATTATGAAAAATAATGCTTTTCATGAAAAGCAGATTTTGCAACAGGACCATTGAGGAAGTGAGCCACACAAACTCTTCGATGCCCATCAGTACAAACATGGATTTTCATGCCCTCCCCTCCCTGCCCTTCCTCTTCAGGTATCTTTGAGTTACAATTATTAACCTTTTTCCTCTACAAAGAAAGTAATGCCCTAAGTATTTTCTACACAGGAAAATATACAGCTTTTACTCTGTTAAAAAATGCTGATGTCATTTACCACACTAGGAAATACTAATAATACCACCACAACTCTACCGTTTCTCATCTGTGTAAGATCAAATAGATCAAAAAAAATTTAAATTTTAAGCAACTATGCTCTAATTTAAAACACATGGCAGGAAATGAATTTATTCCTAAAGCAACATCTGAACACGTCCACTGTCCCATTAAACAGCAGGACATTTGCCAATTTAAAATAAAGTAGCATACATTTCTTTTCCACTTTAGCAGACAGTATTAAATGGGGAATGCAATCACTCTAAGTTAACATGAGAAATGCCAGATACATGACTTATATGGTTGTTCTGATGAAGAAACCGTAAGCGCAGGAAATGGACATTAAGTTTGGATCTTCTTCACTCCCTTCTTTACTCTTCAGTACACTCCCTTATTTGTTCTTTGGCTGATAGATCTCACAGAGCACTGGAAATTTAATTCTTTATCAGTATAAAGTTATTACAAAAATGAAATTTGACTCAGAGTGATCAAAGACATTCAACCAGTATTTTGGACCATCACAAGAGTACCCAACTGACCCAGAGCAAGGCTGCAGTGAGAGGGAGGAGAATGCAGGACTCCAGACTTTGCCACTGTTATTTCAAGAAAGTGTTAG